ATTTTCAGTACAAATCGGCAATTTCATACTTTAACCCCTATTATTTGAAAAGAGTAACTCTCAATGTCACACCGGCCAGTGTGTAAAAGATTGTTCATCCATGCTCTGACACTCCTCCTCATTTATTTACACCTGGCTTTCCTTATACTATGAAAAATCCTTGTCAGTTATGAACACTCAGTACACATCCATTTCTCTACAGCAAAACTCATACTTGCCCTTTAACACTGCTTTACTGGCAGAGTTCCTCCTGCTCTGTCTATAAATGAGAAAACTGATTTTAATAAAAGATCTTTATTAAAATATATCTAAAACAAATAATGTGAAAAAAAAACAACTTGACATGAAGAGAGTTCTACGAGGTAACAAAGTATATTTAACAAAAGTTTTTTTTTCCCTTTTGAATCTGCAATCAGTCCACCAGACTTTAGTCAGATGAGTTGGAAGATAGAGGGTGTTACAGAAGATTAAGAAGATTAATCTTCCCTTAATTGCACAACATATCTGCTCTTTTCAGTCTTCTAATTGTGGTTGGCAGCAACAGTACTTGGGGCAAAGGGTTACGATGAACTTCTAGTCGATGCCCATAGTGAACTGTATAGCGTTTCGCTTCTTCGAGAATCTGCATTTCCAGATAGTTGTGCATTTTGGAGTAGTAAGTGTAGCAGGGTGCAGCAGTTAATGCCCTGAGAATGCTATTTTGGGCTCTTTGAAGGCTAAGTAAATTTGTTTTGTAGAGTTGATCTCAGTTCTTTTGTTTTTTATATGTTCACTCCATATCATCCTACAATCCAAATATAATCCCAAATATTTGACACAAGAGTGGTAGAGTGTCAGGACCTAAGTTGACCGAGGGGCAGGTGTCACGTCTAAGCGCAAAAGTGATGTGATGAGACTTTGGAGCACTCACTTTTATGCGCTATTTGTTTATCCATGCATTGGTGTCATTATGTTGGAGTTGCAACATTCTGCTTGCCTCATTGGGATCGCGATTACAAGCTAGTAATGCGGCATCATCGGTGTAGGTTGTAGGAAGCACAGATCCTTGAGCAACTCCTGCACAGCAACTGAAGAGAGAGGACCGCGCTTCTTGAAGTTTTATTTGGAACATTCTGTAAATGAGGTAAGAGACCATCATAGGAAAGAATGAGTGAGGGAGTAGTTTTTAATTTTATAGAAGAGTCCCTTGTGCCAGACCCGATCGAAAGCTTGCTGAATATCAAGAAAAGCCGCAGAGCAGTATTCCTTTTTTTCCAGGCATTGTCTTACAGTGTGATACTCTTTTTTTTTTCCTTATGAATGACTTTTGAGACTACACAGCCTCAATTCTGCCAGTTCCCGTTTTCTAGCTTCATAAACGTTATGGACGGTGTGTTAGAATTTTGTTCGGTGACTCAGAGGGAGAATCGAAGAGACTTTTGCACAAATTGAATTCTAGAACAAAGGAAACGGCACAAATTAGACAACACAAGTCGTTAGACACATGTATATATGTTAAATATAGTGTTAGTGTATGAATAATATTTACAGTTTAATATGATTTACATATATGAATTTAAAAAGAATATGATACATTTTTGGGTGAGAAGATAGGGCCAAAAGGCATTCAAAGGAAGTAGGACGAGGGATAGAGGGAGGGAGGATGTCATATAGGGAACACCGTAGTTTAGGGCAGTCAAAAAATATATGGTCCACGTTTCCTTCGTCTGGTCTAGACGCATTCACACAATGAGTTATCTTTTATCCTAAGTTTAGCTAAATGAATAGGAGTACACGCGTGACCTAAGCGAAGCCGGCATATTGTTGACGTAGTTTTTTTATCTGCTGTATGGAATTTGAAAAACCATGGTGTTGTAGGAATTTGGGGTGGGATGTCCGCATAATATTTGCCCTTTTCTTTTTGGGATATCTCCCAGTACTTCGACCAACGATCACGAAGAAGGGATTCTGGGAGAAGGTCGTGGGAGTACAAATTGGAGTGTTCAGTTGAACCTATGCGGGAAGCCAATTTGGCACAGGAATCTACCGTCTCATTGCCTGGGATTCCAACATGTCCAGGTATCCAAGCTAGCACCACGTTTACACCTTGCTTGTAACACTCAAAACAGGACTTGTTTAATTTTAAGTATAATAGCGAACCGGAAGGAAGAGTGGAAAGGGTTTGACAGGATGGATTGAAGGCAACTTTTGGAATCAGTAAAGATGATGGAATTATTGAGTTTATGAGACTCGACATAGAGAATTGCTTCCAGTAAGGCGATTGCTTCACCAGTAAATACAGAAGAGGAGGATGAGCATCTGAAGCTTAAACCTATCTTAGAAGAAGGGATCCATACTGCTGCTCCTATGGAACTTACTGCTGAAAGTTTTGAAGCATCAGTAAATATGCAGCGCCATCCGGAATAGTCGGAAGAGATCCTATGGTTGAAAATCCCTCGAGGATCAACAGAGTCCTTCTCTATATCAAAGTGAAAGAGAATGTTGAGCTGGAAAACAAGAGCTTCATAGGAAATACAATAAAGAGGATTGCGAGGAAACTGATTGAGTGGGGGAGGGAGTTGGGTGAATTTAATAAAGCTCTGAAGAAGGCAGGGTTTACTGTCCATGTTCCGAGAATCGAATAAGTCTAAGAGAAGATTTAATTTAGGAAGAATGGGGTGGTTTGAATTTTGAAGCAGTTTAAAAAGAAATCTGTCCGAAAAAAACTGTCTGCGAATATTCAGAGGAGGCTCCCCGCACTCAACTTGCATAGCATTAATGGGCGAGGACTTCATGGATCCTAGAATAATTCGCAGAGATTTGACTTGAACTTTTGCAATTTTATTTTGTCCAGATTTATTAGCTATATTAAAGAGAAAAGATCCATAATCCATATGGCTGCGAACTATAGCATTATATAAAAGTTTTTAGGAGTATGGATGAGAGCCCCACCACACTCCTGAAAGGGACCGCAGAATGTTAATATTTTTTTCACATTTAGATGCTACATGATCGAAATGAGGGATACCGGACATTCTGGAGTCTAGCTTGATACCTAAAAATTTGGTTGAATTTAATTGTGGAACGATTTCTTGACCTATGCGTATTTCAATCGTAGGGACAATTCTTTTCCTGGAGAAGACTATGGCACAACTTTTCGAAGGGGAGACAGATAGGCCATGCTCAAATAACCAGTCATTTAGGTATGACAGAGCCGAGTTCAATCTACTTTCTGCCTCTTCTATAGTACTTACTTTAATGTATAGAGCCAGGTCATCAGCATATTGGAGAACGTCGCAAAATGAATTGACAGATGACTCCAGGTCGTAAGTATAGATACTATAGAGCAATGGGCTTAATACAGATCCTTGGGGGAGACCTTTCCAAACGGTTTTCGGGGACAGGAAATTTAGGGAAGATTTTACTATCACACGACGCTCCATTAAAAGGTTGGAATAAAACGCACGAGCTTTTTAGGAATACTCAACTGGGTGAGTTTTCTCCTGAGTACCGGAAGCAAGACGTTGTCATATGCTGAGGCGATATCGAGAAACACCCCAACAAGGAATTTCTTTTCCTTGATAGCAGAATGGATTTCAGTCGTTAGCAAACTGAGATTGTCCATCGTGCTGAAGCCCTTCCTAAAACCAAACTGTGTTTTAGCTAGGATGTCCCGTGATAGACTCTGTACACTTGCTCCACAGTTGAATGTTGTTTTCGGAACCCAAATTGGTGTTCTGGTATGATTACACCTTCGCCAAGGCGCGAAGTGAATCTTGTAATAATTATCTTTTCCTACAATTTTGATAACAATGGTGTCAAGCTAATGGGACGATATGACGTAGCTTCGGTAGCAGGCTTGCCAGGCTTGTGGATCATAACAATTTGAGATGTTTTGTCAGAGGTTAAGTAAGTGAGAGGTTCTGAGAGTGGCATTGATAAGAATTGTGAGGAAAACAATACACTTCCTAGGGAGCTCCTAAAGTAGCCTTGTAGAGAGCAAGTCCATCATCGATATTTCTCTAGCCAGTTCGCGTGGAGACGTGTGTCGCAGCGGAGGAGACAACTGCCAGCAAGTCTATTTCTGGATCCTCGAGCTCATCACTATTATTTGGTTTGAACACATTAGCAAGATGATTTGCAAACTTTGAGATTTGCCTCATATTTTTCCAGGTTCGTTTGTGCCCGTGAGTTTTCAGATCTGATTGGAGGGGAGCATTGGTGGGGTTGAGGCAGGCTCTTTGTTGCTTTCCACAGAGAGTTTACTCCTTACCTCTTGTGAATTAGGATAATGTAAACAGATATGTTCTCTATCCTTTGTATGATGGATTAATTTGCTGTTTTGGCCAGGAGAACTTTCAAGTCTTATTGCTCGGTTTAAACGTGTTTTGTCATTTTTGTACTGCCTCTTAACGGTCTAGATTGAGTTTTGGTGATATTTTTACTCATGGTGACTCATGGTCTCTTTTTTGTTATTGGCTAGTACTAATTTGCTGAGCGTCGCCGTTGCTCTTGACTACATCTCGCTGCATCACGTCGTCATGACGATTATCTGTGTAACTGTTGTTTTCAGTTTCATTATGATCTATTTTGTTGCAATTGTCTAAAACAAAACAACAAGCATTACATAAGCGAGTAACCGGAAATCGAACCCACCAACTTTTCATTTAGCACACATGGTGCTAATTTCAGAACTACTGGGGTCAGAATAGCGGAATGGTTTCACAGTAATTATTTAAAGATTTTTTGTGTTCTAGGCTGAATTGGAGATGAACGAGGCGTTAGCGTCGCTAGAGATGCTCATGTCGGAGTTCTTCGCACCCACAACGAATAACTTTCGCAAACGAGAAATTGAGAGCATGCTAGAGAACTTTTCTAGTCGCCAGGACTCTTGGAAACACTGCCTTATCTTTCTACAAAAGTCACACAATCAATATGTCTTGATGTTTACTCTTACTACATTAGAAGTGAGTATCCCAAGTAAATATCTTAATACAATTATTCTGAATTTACTTTAAACGGTATGTTATGTAGCGGCATTTGAAAAAGTCAGAAGTTTTGTTTAAAAACAATAACTTTGCGAAGTTCGGCTAATCCGTAGAATAAAGATCTACGTGTAAGATTGCTTATTCTCAGAACACAGTACATTTCTATTATTGTTCTTCGCTGTGGTTATCAGATAGACCGTTGTTCAATTTTATATTTCCGAAACGAAATAACATGTAAACATTCTGAATACACCTATATAGATAGGCCTTAGTTTGAATAACAAGATTATGTATTTATCCTTTTTTCGCTGTATTATCACATCGGACTCTGTTCTTCCGATGAGTCGAGTTACTAATATCAGTTTATAATATTTCAAACGTACAGATGACAGCACATCAAGCTACACATTGAATCTTGTCCCACTGCAAAGGCCGCGATATTCGAACAAAAGTGTATAGCTTGATGTGCTGTTGAATAATGAGTAAAATATATTATAAAAGGGATTTTTAATATTCGTCTATTGTTTCAGAATATTATAAACAGACAATGGATTAGTTTATCAGACAATGAGAAGACAGAGATCAGATTGACATTATGGAATGAGCTCATGGCTAAACATGAACTGATGCCAAACTTTATTAGAAACAAATTGGCTTCTCTCATGGTCGCCATAGCTCGTTATGACTGGCCCCATCTATATCCTGATTTCTTTGAAAACATTGTGGAGGTGAGATCAATTTGATGCGAGTTTTATAAATTAAAAAATCGGAAATTATAACAATGAATGAAAACATATAAGTATAGTAATGATATAAACACACATGCAGTAACAACTTGTTGTTTGTTGATGTCAAATCACCATTTCTTTTTAATTAAATAGTTAAACGCAAGTGAAAGTGATATGAATCACTTCAATTGTAATGCAATGTAATAAATAGTACACAAGTATATATGTACTCCTAAAGTATTTTTTTTTGTTTTATATAACAGAAATGGCCTTTTCAATTTCTGAAACAGTAAATAACTTCAGTAAAAATTTGTTGATATAAGTAGACTACGTGATGAGCCAATATTTGCAGCTCATACGGTGCGACGGGCGTCGTTGCGTGCTAGGGCTAGTCCTGGCTGGTGCGGCGAGTGAGGAGCTGGGCGCAGCGCGGGACTCCGGTGTGCTCTTGCCCTCGGCGCGGCGCAGTCAACTTGAACGGCTCATGCTGAAAGGCACTCCGCAAATGCTCTCCGTTTTATCAGGTACTTGTTAATGTAAATATAATCTAAAAATAGCCTTGTATAGTTTTTTATCAAATTGAAAAAAGTACAAAATTACTGTAATAGAATCGAGTTCTTAGGTTTTCGCGATTGTTACACATAGGAAATGAATGGTTGACAGTCATTCGTGACCATGGGACCTGTAAAGGGCCCGAAACGTCGGTTTGTTTGAAAAAAACAAAGATACGCGATTTAAATCCGGAAAAATAGTTTCATTTCCTACACTGTAATAGAAATCAATATTTTTTTGTACCCATAAAAAGTCATAAACCATTTTTGAAACTATTTTTTATTTACAGCTATATTAGAAAAGTATGCCCAAAAAGAAGGACAATCCGGACCTCCGCCGTCGCCAACCAGTGGCATTCCACAGACTTCTACCCTCCCAGATTTACTGGCAAACGCTCATGATGTCCATTGTACAGACAAGTAATATCTCAAACTTATTCATCACGTTCATCTTCAATCACAATTTAGTTCTTTTTGTCAACATAACAGAAAATACCGAAACACATTTTACTCAATATTTGCAGAGCTTTGAATATGGAAATAGTGGTTAAGTGCTTAACCACTCTGCAGCATTTATTCTCGTGGTTGCCTCTATCTTCTCACGTTCCGCCTTCACTAGTAACGACTGTCTTCTACTGGGGTAGCATTGCGACTCAGTCACAGGTTAGTATTAATTAACTTGTCTAGTTTACTGCATTGTTCTATAAAATAGTATGGTTTATTTGTTTTTTTTAATGATATAATTATTTGCATTGCATTTGATCTCCAACTTACTTGATGGAAAGTGACGATGAGGTCGACGATGGAGCCTGCACATTAATGCCTATTCACTCTCACCTTGAAAAGGCCCAGTTATAGCGTTCAGGGAATATGCCTGCAGCAAGGAATTCCACTTCATAGCCGTTCGCCATATGAATGTGGAAGAGTAACGCTTCGTGCGAATCTTTGCAATATCCACAACATGGGGGTGGAACCCCAGCCAACGTCTAATCCCCCAATGATGGAAAGGTGAAGGCGGAATTAAATCCGTTGCGTACTCTCTGTGATACATCCTATAAAATATCGATAAGCAGACAACTTTACGGCGGTGTTCAAGGCTTTGCAGCTTCGCCTCAACTAAATCCGAGTCATCTATAAGCCACATAGCACGCTTTTCAACTGAATCCAGGTGGCCAGTTGGTATTTAGCAGAGTCATCCCATTGTATATTCACATATCAATTTCTATTTAACTGTCTCCGTGGTCGAAAGGTTACCAAGCCGAACTGCCACGCAGAGGTCCCAGATTCGATTCCAGGGCCGGGAGAAATTTTTGCATGGCCTACATTTATTTCTCCCGTGAGTTTGGATGTAATTTGTGGTTGTCTATGTGTGTGTCCATGGCACCCGTGACACAGGGTTTCCCTAGTGCGGGGCTATGTTGAGTGTGTGCGTTATTATAATTTACCCTATAGGTATAGTTTACTGTACTTGAGACGTCAATGTACAAGGTCAAGAGACGTCAAGCTTGACTGTGTTGACTGTTGAGTTTTAATTGAAAATGAAACTATTTTTTCGGATCTAAGTATATTTGTTTTTTGCAAACAAGCCAATAAAAAAACTAACATTTGAAAAGGTCAGGTCAAGCGGCGTACGCTTACGTTATCGTAATCCACAATAATCCTAACTGTCCGGCTTGGTGTGCTCTTGACTATAACAACAATATAGGTAGTTTGTATAAAAAGTCCTAAATGACAGAGTATGGAGGCAGCACTGGCGGGTCTGGGCGGGGTGTGCGAGCTGCTGTATCGGCGGTACGCGCCGCCGTCGTCTGCTGCCACCGCTCTGCGGCTGCACCACGCGGCGCTGCGCCTGCTGCGCCACCTCACGCACAACCAGCATCATATGGCGCACGCTCATCATGAGTTAGTGTCAACATCTACTCTTTAGTTGACATTTTTCAATTGAGGCTATCAGCGCAAAAGTGGTGTAACCCACATTTAATTTTTTCTTTACAATATTACTTTAAATTATACTAAAGTACATTATTGTTGTGTGTGTGTATGTATAGTTTAGTTTATTTCTCTTAACATTACAAATTTCATACAAATACAATTACATGTCATTTTATACTACTCGTCGAAAAGTGAGCGTCAGTTTACAAAATAATGATGAAATAATTATATAGTGAGTCATAAGTACAAACAGTGTACATATACAAAATCAACATAATTAATTAAACTAATAAATAATTGAATGAAACTAACAATGTCAAGTGTATACAGGAAATGTCAATATGGATTCTTTATTAAGAATTAGTTATTACTAATAAATGTATATTACAGTATAATAATACGGTGAATGTCAAATTTATTAATAAATATAATAATTTAATTATTTATTAAGTGCTTTGAGTGTACTCTGTTACTCAGTAAAGGGTCTTTTCCAATAAAAAGTTATTCAATCTGCACCTGAACGTTTCCTCACAACATTCGTTTTTTAGTTCGGCAGGTAGGTGCTCATAGTAGATCGGTCCTATAACCCGCGGGTTTTTTTCGTGAAGTGCAGTGCGACGCGGTATTGATCGGAGTTGTCCCTATATATATCGTATAATAATATATACGTTATAATTGACATACAAAGTAATATTGTAGAAAAAGAAATTAAATGTGGGTTACACCACTTTTGCGCTGATAGTCTCAATTGTCGTTCTGAAAATCTTCCCATGTATATCACATTTTATCACAGCTCACGAGTCATTATGCATTGAGTAAAGTATGTCATTTAAATTGCGATAGTAACGTGATACATCCGCGTATTTTTCGACCTCGTTTAACTTAATTATTTTTTTAAATTTGTATTGAATTAATATTCAATTATTTTTTGTGAAATTACTCCATTAGTTTGTTATGATTATTAAAACAAAGAACACTTATAAAATATTCTTTCGTTCCGACGGGATTCGAACCAACGTGTACTAGCAAACCGTGTCAGACGCTATGCCAACTAAGCCACGGAACGAACCAGCGGACCTCATTTCTTATAATATATTCCTATAATTTAAATATTTTCTTTTCAGGTACCTAAATAAGTTAGCAGAGTTCCTAAAACTATTCGTATCGCTGCATTTCAAGAGGCTTGAGGCCGAACCGGAATTTGATGCTATTGAATTCTTGTCATATCTATTCCAGTATACATTCCAGGTATAATACTCATCGGATACTTGAGTATATTAAGTATATATATAAATATATTTGAACCGTGGTGTAAATGTATTAATTAATTATTAATATACCATGATTTAAAATCCTCCTTTCCATAAAGTGATTGGCAATTTTTTTTTTCAGGTGCCAACATGTGCAATATTCGTGAACTGTTTAGACATATGGATACAATTTATAGATATTTTAAAACCTGAAGACACAGCTAAGTAAGTTTTATAGATTTTATGTTCGTTTACAATATCTTTAACTTTAATAACTTAATTGCAAAATACAGAAAACTAGATACAGAGATATGCCCCCTGTACTACGGGTAGCTGGGTCCGTCCGTCAAGTGTGAAGACGAGGACCTGCGAGCAGCTTATGATTGCTGTCGATAAATAATATCTTGACTATGTACTAATTTTAATTTAATATAGATAATCAAATGCAGCTGTTTTTGTTAAAATGCATATGAATAAATTGATGTCGATACTAGTAGGCCAACTGTCAAAATAAGAATATAGAAGGCAATAACTGAGTTAGTAATCAACAGAATGATGTAACATTCACAATTCAGTAAATTGTTTGCAAAATTGTATCTTCTTTCACAATCTATCAATAAAACTGTCGACAACTACTACATAACTATTTACAATTTTCTGAAAACTGGCAACCCTACAAATGTCATTTTACTCCGTCTTCAAAAAAGACAGACTATAAGCTGTTGCAATAAATTTATAAAACATGATTGGTAGAACCCAATTTTGGTACATGAATAAATTAGTTACATTGTCAAGTATAGTTCCAATGTTTATGAACACAATGAAAAACAGCCAACTCCAGTCCCGTATAATATCGTGGCAATGTTTTCTAATATTTTTTTGTTTTTAGATATTGGGAAGCTCTACATGGTCTCGTGAATAGTGTTCTGAATAAAATACTTTTCCAGCATAATAAAATACAGCTCCAACACCTCGACAATGAAGTGTGCGACGATGATGTAAGTTAAAAAATATGTGTTCTTGGCTTGCATATCTATGGTGTTTTGTGTGGTAGTGGTTGGGTACTTTAGAGCCTTATCACACTGGCGATTGGAAAGCGAGGCGAGAGCGCAGCGGATTCGTAGCGACAACGCCGCGGGCGAGTTGTTGCTTCGGTTACAAAATCACTTAAATCATAAAGACACACACTTAAGATTGGCAATGTCAATTGAAGAAAGACTCGTAATTATAATAAGGTGCGTTTTTAAAATTAAATTCAGAACAGATAGTAATAAACACTTTTTTGCTTCTGTATTTACTATAATGAATAGTAAATTATAATGTCAACACGAAAAAATAATAATCAACATTACGGTGCTTTAACTAATAGCATTTGCACAACGTGATGTCCATGGCGCGGTTCGCAGCGAGCTCTCATTTCATTAAGAGTTTTGGCGTGGATACAAGCCCTTTGAGCCACGTCTTCGTTTAATTATCGGGATCCTCAGTAATATTTTCCATTGCGGTTCTAATACATTATGTTTTAGTTTTCTCTTAAATAACTTTGTTCTCTTATTTGGGTTTTTAAAATAGTCTTAATCGGTGGGAGTCACGTTATCTTCTATCATTTTGGACAAAAACTTTGAATTCGTAATTATTGGAATTTTTAGGATAAAGTCTTTTGTAATTTCATTTAAAATAAGGAATATAGTTCTAACTTTCTTCATTACTGTTTTTTTCCTCGTTTTTTCTTCATAATAACTTAAAATAAAAATAATCTTTGTAAAAGCTGTACTTGTAATGTCAAAAGCCCGCCATTTTTTTTCGCAGAGAGCTCTCTGGTGCTTTGTGATAAGGCTCTTATGGTGTGAATTATATTTTTAAGAAGTAAATACATATATACACAAAAAAGCAAATTTTTATTGATTTACTTTAACAAAATAGAATTTTATATTTTTATTAAATATTTTACAATTTAGTTGAATATTTTTGTTAAAGGGCGAGACTGAATGGCATACATTCCTAAAACATTGTATAGAATGCATTGCTCGCGTAGCGGAATTGGCTCCTTTGGACGTCTTTACGGCAGTGGTGAGTAATTAATCATATTTCGCATAATGCTTATATTATAAGCCTGCACACTCGTACCTGTATACGCTCGTAGCGAGCAAATGTTACGCAATGTGAGTATGACTTGAAACCCTGTTTAAAGGTAATGAAAGTATTTTTTCGGATCTAACTCGTATACATGGTTTTTCGTATGGTTGGTTGTATACGCGTATATTTGGTTTTTCAAACAAACTAACGTTTCGGCCCCTTTACAGGTCACACGGTCACGGTTACGGTTGACTTATAGGACTAACAAGAGACCTAGGGTCCGAAACAAAATAGTATCATTTCCTATGTGTAACAATCGCGAAAACCTAATAACCTGTGTAAAATTCAGAGGCAGAAGTAAAATTCTATACATTTTTGTAAACCATTTCTGACATTCATATATTAAAACACAAGATACTGGATTCCGGTCTTTATATTTCTGAATAGACTTATTTTTGACGTTTTAGATTGTGGGATGCTCGTCAGCTTTCTTCCTGGATTAACGTGATATTCATGTACTTTTTATGAAAATACTCCACTAGTTTGTTCTTATTATTGATACAAACAAATGTGGAACAAACACTAAAACTCCTTCGATCCATCTGGAATCGAACAAGCGTCTGTTGCCTAAACGTGACTCTTATAATATAGATAGACAAACAGTTTATTCCTGCTATTCTACTTATACACCAATATGGACTCTGGACATATTCTGAAATATGTTTGTATTCAGGCAGAGAACAAAAAGTAAAGAGAACGGACACTCTCCGCCCCTCCCTAGCTTTAGATACCGCGCCACGCCCCGCACATTGCCGGTCAAATTGATTGAAAGACAACAATGCTGTCAGCGAGCCGTTGTCGTGCGAAGACGGCTTTGATATTTGAATAAAGTTTTCATTTATTCATTACGAAACTTGTACGTTAATATAAAACATCATTTTACGTTACTATTTATAATGGTCGTGAATTGTGCTGTTTACCGCTGTTTATCATCATTTTCCGAAAGATGAAACGAAGTTAGTTAAAAATAACTTATGTCTGAGACTTTCAGTTATTGTTTTCTTCATTTATTTACTGATGTATGTATAAAAAATACAGATTTATTATATCAATATACTTTGTGAGCTAGTAGACAAGGGTTCTCGAATTTTCAATTAATTTTGCCGATAAATATTACGTAACGTAACGAAACGTAAAGTACGTAAAGTAACGAATATACCTAATTAATAATGATCAACTTGGACACGCAGTTTCAAATACCTTGGTTACCTTTTTTATAGGTATACATACTTATTATTTATAGGTATACATACATAATTATTATTATTTATAGGTGTACATGTCCAAAATATGACATTTTAAGTGCTTTTAATATATTTTTTAAATAAATCTTCAATAGGAAATGAAACTATTTTTCCGGATTTAAATCGCGTACATTTGTTTTTTCCGACGTTTCGATTTAAATCCGGAAAAATAGTTTCATTTCCTATGTGTAACAATCGCGAAACCTAAGAACTCGATAAATCTTCAATGTTACTCTAGTTAGTGAATTAATGAAAAATATTATATTATATCGATATAAATAGACATGTGTAATTATTAGGATTCTGGATTCTATTAATAGAATCATACAGCATTTTCGCTACTGTTGCCGCTCTGATCACGTAACGTGCAAGAAAGTGATGGGTAACCCTGCCACTTCACGCACACATTTGCGCGTCTGCAGATAGAGCCTTGCTATATGTATAGTAGTAGGTAATAATTTTCGACTGTTGTATGGAGTGTCCGGTGTGTGATACAGGCAATATATTGGAAAGTGAGACGTACTTATAGAGTGCGTTATATTCCTGATTCTGAACCCAAAGAAATAATAAACTAAGGAACTTAAACTTTATAAAAATTTTTTTTTATCGATTACTACTTGTGGACAACATTAGTTATCGAAATCTATGCACATCACTATTATTGCTCCGACGCAGCAGCGGGCGGCGGCACGGCTGTTCTCTGGCACGGCGGCGAAATACAAAGCACGGGTCGGGAGTGGGGGCGCGGGCGCATACGCGAAATTGCTGTTTGCAGAGACAGTGCACGCGCGACCTTGGTCTAACGAAGACGCGTAAATTATTTGTACTTCCGCTCGCCCGATAACTGCGCCGGCGATCGCGCCGTGCGACTTTCCGCAATAAGTGGTGATGGTGTGAGGCAAGCTATTGAAATGTTCCCAAATCGGAGTTTACGTGGAGGGGGTGAACAGTGTCGAAGTGTTGCGTGAGAGGATTATCTTAGCATTTTATACTGTGGGACAAAATGTGTTTGTGTTGAACAATTTAAAACAAAATTTACTATGCCGTGCTAGACTACGCATTGTGGAAATTGGTGGACATTTTGGACACTTGCTCCGTACCACGTAAGTGTAAATAAACTGTAAAGAACTAAAAAATCAATCATTGTAAATAACTTGATTTCACATTTTTAACTACGCTAAAAACCTCAATTCTTATTAAATGTAATCTTAATAAATGCAGTTACTAAATCATAAACTTATCTTTTAAAACTTTTCGATGATAATTAAATTTTTATTGAATTGATATTCAATTCTTTTTTGTGAAATTACTCCACTAGTTTGTTATAATTATTAATACAAAGATCGAACACTCAGAAAAAATTCCTTCGATCCGGTCGGATTCGAACCGACGTCTTCTTGCATGATAGTTCAAGTAAAAAATAATTAACATAAGCTAAAACGTAATCATTTTGATAACAGCTTTTTCCATCATAACATAAATGAGTGGGTGAGTAATTTAGATTTAAATCCGGAAAAATAGTTTCATTTCCTATGAGTAATTTAATTTTTATTTTCAAGAGAAATGAGGTACTTTGTCGGTACTAAGCCCGCGAAAAAGTAGGAAGGGGGACGTAAAATCATTGTTATTGTTGCTGTCTCACTCGGTGCTCGATTGGTAGTATTCCCATTGCACTCGAAATCAAACGTAAAGGGAATCGGTTTATTCCTATGTACACTCCAAAACACATTTGTTGATTTATTTTTGTTCTATCCCATATCCTAATTTTATTTTAGTCTATGTTAAGTTGTAAAATGATTTACTATGACATGTGTGAATATGTCTCACTTTCAAATATACAGCCTGTATTAGATTACTTTTTGTCCGCTTCATTAGTACTAAGATTCTTTGGATCAGTTATCTATTTGTTATCAACAAAGACAACAAACAATTTTCTTTCTTTTTTTTAATTAGATATATTCAGTGTTGTTATGTTGGTCATACGATACCACTCTAGACATCATGGATTTATAAATATATACATTTATATATATTTGAAAATTCCTAAAATATTTGCACTATTAAATATATTGTAGCAAATGAAACCCTTCGATTGATCATGCCACATTAACATTTTAATAAAAAGCTTCTGAGGTTTGGACATAAACGTGCAGAAACTTTTATATGAAATCATGGTTGTCATGAACGATCTATAACGATGTTCGCATTGTGTCGTGCAGCTGGAGCGCTGGCAGTGCTTGGCGGGCGTGCACGCCCGGGCGGCCACGCGGACCGCGCCGGGCGGCGGCGGCGGCGGCGCAGGCGCAGGCGGCGAGGCGGAGCGGCTGCTCGCCGCACTGCTCGACCTCGCCACGCTCACGCGCGTGCTCGGCAGACTGGCCCCGGCACTGCTTTCAGGTTACTATTCTCGCTTGCTTTAAAGTAAGCATCCCCTTGTTCGACAGTCCTAAGTTAGTTGTCAAATAATCCATTAAATAGAAGTTCTGCCCAAGAATTTCCATTAAATGTATGTTTTTTTATATAATATTAAGTGACGAACAAGTCATGCGCCTGATGGTAAGCTACACCCTGTCCATAACAGTTGCCGTGCCACTAAGAGCTTTAAATCGCAAAGATCTGAGGGGCACTGCCACTGCACCCGTCATCCCGAGACATAACTTGACAACAGTGTTGGGCGTTAATCAATTAAATTTCAATCAATAATTCAATCAGATTAAAAAATCAATTCAATTGAAATCAATTGCAATTGATTTTAATTGCAATTGATTTCAATTGAATTAAAATCAATTCCGGCCGGTTAGGGGCCGCGGTTGGGAACGCCGGTTGGGAACCCCGCTTGGGGGCCCCGGTTGGGGCCCCCGGTTGCGGACCCGGTTGGTCACAACCACAATTGATCAATCGTTAATTGCTGTTTCGCAATTGACAATTAATCAATTGTCAATCTTTAATTGTCAGAACAATTAAATTTTGCCCAACACTGCTTGACAAGTCTCATGTGTTTTAAATTTTTATTGAATTGATATTCAATTATTTTTTGTGAAATCACTCCACTAGTTTCATGACTAGTTTGTTATATTTATTAATACAAATATCGAACACTCAGAAAATATTCCTTCGATCCGGCCGGATTCGAACCGACGTCTTCTAGCTTACCGTGCCGGACGCTATAACAACTAAGCCACGGAACGAACCAGCGGATCTCACGAATTTTTCTATGTGCATGTGTCGTATCTTTATATTTGGTTTTTTCAACGACTTTTTAGTTGTAGTGCCATCTACGAGAAATCTATGAAAGCTTTATCACCAAGTCTCATGTGCCTGTAATTTCACCAGCACCCTTACCCTTCAAAACCGGAACACAGTAATGCTAACATTTGTGCTTGACCGCAGAAATAGGTAAGGTGGCAATACTTACCTGAACGAACTCTATGACAAGGAGCTCTACTGCTGTCTCAAACTTGTTCGAACGCTTTCATTGTGAACTTTCACGTGTGAGATCTTTTTAACTGCATAGATTGTATTAAACTTGTATAGATCTCGACAACGAGCGCGGTGCGGCTGCGCGTGCGGCTGGCGCCGGGCTCGTGGAGCGCGTGGCCGCGGCACTCGCCGGCGCCGCGCTTACGCGCCCGCATAGGCAAGCCATGCCCACGCAGTACGTGCAAGTGTAAGTACTATTGTAGGATATTTAATTTTACAATCCTGAACTCTTTCAGCGCCTAAAACTCGCCACCGAGCCCAGACGTGTAATCGCATACTTGAGCAGCATGATGCTCATCGGCTTATTTTCTATCGTCATCGTCAATCCATTGATTTAACGATAAAAACTTTCACGATTTTCAGATATTATTTGACTTTTAATTTAGGACCTAATCACGTATAAAACATATTTTATTTACTTCGACGTTTCGGACATATTGCAACGTCTATGGTCTCGAAGTCCATGTCAACGTCCATGGATTGATTGCAGTTGTGGGAGTTTCTATATTGGGCAGACAAAACGCACCATAGAGTTAAGAACACATCGCTGTTAAGAACCGTCAGCTCAATAAGTCTTCCATAGCCGAGCATTTGCTGGAATCAGGACCAAACCACTGGATTGAGCTTCATAATCCCAAGATCCTTTCTACAGAACGTACGTGAAGTTATGGAAATTAATAAACACCGAGAAGTTTCAACCGAGAAGACGGTTTTAAGTTTTCATCGTCATGGGATCCAGTTATCAGCAAATGTAAACGACATTAAGTATCTCCCGACAAGTCGCCGATGTCGTGAGTGTTGTGTGTGGGTCTAGTGAGAACCCTAGTGCACAAATAAATAATGAAGATCAAGTGCGGGTAGTTAGAAAAACCCGCACGGCTAGAAGATGCTGACACCCGCCTCTTCCGTCACTTCGAGACCATGGACGTTGCAATATGTCTGAAACGTCGAGGTAAATAAAATATGTTTTATATGTGGTTAAGTCCCGAGTCGAAAATCAAATAATCGTCAATCCATTTATAAATCCCACTGACGGGCACAGGTCTCCTCGAGTCAAGCACGCGTTGCGGTCTCGTTGAGGACTTCACACGTTTTCCAACGGTTGTGAACCTTTGACATGTAGGCTTCATCTTATTTACTATTTAGTTGTTTTTTGGTTGGTACGGAAGTAAACACAATTTCCGGTGGCATTGAAAGTGTTGATCTCTTTTATACGATATGAGGAAAATGAGTTATATCAACAGAGGAAGCGAAACAAATTTCACGATCGTAGCAAGTGAAAATCTGTAATAAGCGTCCATTGCGTGTGTAAGTGATGGCATGTGTGGATATTACAAAATCACTTCCCAAAACAGAAATAGAACACATTTCCAGAAAACGGTTTGTCGGAAAATTATTTGGCAACCATATTTTCCACAGTACTTTATATGGCGCTTTTATTTCTTTCTTTATAGACACGCGGAAATGTTCGCTTGTATGGGTGCGTGGTGTTGTTACGCGAGCGAGTGCGGCGTATCTTCGCACATTATGACGTCACTATTCACCGCTGCCGAACCTTTCTTACTGCCACATGATTCACCTGTGAGTATCATATTGTGTAGTAATTGTAGTTCGTTTTTTAAAGGTCTGTTCTGTGATCTTCCTTTAAATAAATAGATAAAAATAAATGAATACAAAGATCGAAATCATAGAAAAATTCTTCGATCTGACAGGACTCAAACCTGTGTCTTTTGCCAATCTAGGGCAACCGCTCTACCAATTGTGCTATAGATCGAGTCAGCAGACCTTACGAATTTTTCTATGCCTTTGTTATAGACCTTTGTTTTTGGTTTTAACGGCTTTCTTTACTTGTGAGAAATCTATGAATGATTTTCTTCACTCAACTATTCTCACTCTTAGTAGTTATTCGTTTGATGTTCCTAATATTCTGGTACTTACTGACACAGTCCTATTTGGCACGATCTTATTCAAGTGCTCCAAAACGGGTTGCATTAATTTGAACTTTTAATGCAGTCTGATGACGACACGTCATAGTCTTAGGGATCGCGATCTCCTTTTAATTTGATCTTGACCGCATTTGATTCCAGGAACCATCATTATTAAGCCATGCCTCCGCGCACCTTTTACTCAGCATGTCAAAAAACATGAAGTTTGCGACCGATCCTATCCCGCTCGTCGGCGATCTGTACAACCATGCTCAACGCTCACTACATTATTTGGAACCAAAGGTAAGCGAGTTTATTTTGACCACTTTTACTGCACGTTTTTGATGCGTCATAGAACCGAAACAGAAATATAATTTATAATTCAAGTAAAAAAGAAAGTATGTTGAGAAAAGTAAAGTGACATTATCTGTATTTGTTTAGTATGCATGAATTTTTATCACTAATAATATCTTAAAACCAAAACTTAGCAAACACTAGCGTAACAAATAAACGTAGCAAATATAGCGGTTACGGTAGCGGTACGGCTCACCCGTCTCAAAACGCCACCTGCGCAATAATAAATATATTTACTATAATCATAAATTGTCGTACTATAGTGCGCGCGGAACTAGCTGGCCGCGCCTTAGGTAGGGACAGGGGTGAGGGGGCGGGTTGCTTGCTGCTCGCAACGCACATGAGATTAGACAGTGACGACCAATCTCGAGATATCGTGAACAATAATTGTTCAGTTATTGAAAAGAAAAAATTAAAGCCAATTGAACTTTTACAAGTTTATATTATACCTATCTAATTAATTGCAATGTACAGTCGGCAGCACATCAGGCCGCCACAAACTGTCAGATTTCCTCAATTGATTTTCAACTTAAAGTCCAGGGAATAGAGTATAAAATTGATTGGATAAATTTGACATTTATGTATTGATGGACTTGCTGTTGTCCGTACATTGCAATTAAAAGTAAAATAAACCAAAAACAAATTAAATGAAATTCTTCCGACATATTTGAATCATTTATGAAATTATTATTAATTAATTAGTGTAACTAACACGACTTTGTATTTATAGATATGAAATTACTCTGACATATTATCCTCTGAATCACTTGATTCTGAATTGTCTGAACTTGAGTCAGAATCATCTTGTAAGTTTATAATGAATTCGTCCATCACAGTATCATATCTCATATCATGATTCCAGTATTCTTGTTCGTTTTTTTGTACGTGGTCGTCGCATTTTTGCCATTGTTCGGCAGAAAATTCAGAAAATAGTCTTGTTAGTATTGTAATTTTCTCGTCCAATGTAGCATTAATGTGATCTCTGGCCAGGCAATTTTTTATATTTGCCCACACAAGCTCGATTGGGTTGAGATCTGGATGATATGGAGGTAGTCTTAGAACAGTATGACCTGCACCTTTCAGAAGTTCATCAATCGTGTATATTTTTTCTGATTGGGTCGTATTAATCAAGCCCAAGAGTTCAGCTTTGACCATCGTGGGAGAAAAGGGCACGTTATGATTTTGCAACCAATTCTGCATATTAATTTTCATACAGGACATAGTCGGTTTCTTCTCAACTTGCACACAGTGGTAAGCTGCATTGTCCATAACTATGACTGAGTTAGGTGGAAGTTTAGGTATTAACTTTCGATCAACCCAGTTGTAAAAATTTGTAGAGTTCATGTCTCCATGATAGTCTCCTGTTTTTGAATCTGATTTAAAAATTAGCAGAGCATCGTCAACTAACCCGTTCCGACTACCAGCGTGAACTATTATTAAACGCCTTCCTTTGCCTATATCTGCATAAACACCAGGCTCCGACGAAGATTGCCAACATTTTTGGACATTATGACTTTGGTTAACGTAAGTTTCGTCCAAAAAGAATATATTTCGTTTGTCTTCTCTGAATTTTCTTATGGCCCTCAAATATTTCACTCGCCATTCAACAATGTTTGGTCTCTCTAATAAAAGGGATCTCTTCGATTTACATTTTTTAAATGAATATCCCAGTTTGTGCAAAAGTTCTCTTAAATAAGTTAATCCGCAATCTAAAATATTATCCTCTTTTAACACAGCATTTAGTTTTCGTAGACTTGGATTTGTTTTCTGTACCGTATAAAACTGATTTATTTTTCTTCTTATCACTCCTAAATCAAAATCATCAACTTGTATTTTCTTTTTTATCTCTTTTGGCCTTCGTGGAGAACTAAATTTTGCTTCCCCTGTATTTTGCAAGGATGTTTTACTTTGAGCAATCACTCTCCTTACACTTCGTTCTGATATCCCGGTTGCTTCTGCCACTAATTTATGAATATTCGCATCAGTTTTATATTCTAAACTATTGACATCGGCTTTCCGTTTTTTAAAAAACGTATGCACTTTAAATATTATTTCCTTAGATTGTCTTTTTATCGGCGGACTCATCTTGACATTGCAATCTCTTGTGCGTTTTGTCTAAACTAGCCAGAACTGTCAACGTGTGTTGCCGCCGCGAAGTCCGGCGCCGAACTGAGTATTCTGAGTAATGACATCAAGTGCCCCCGCCTCCCCGTCCCACCGCTCACATACCTAAGGCGCGGCCAGCTAGTTCCGCGCGCACTATAGTAGAAGTAGTAAAAAGGAATTGGAAGATAAATCATTATAATACCGTAGGAATGTACTTCTGTATGCGAGAATGTTCTATTATTATGATTATGAATACAAAAATCGAACGCACAGAAAAACTTTTTTTTTTTCGTCGACCCGGCGATAATTGAACCCACGTTCATGCTGCACCGTAACATTGCTCTAACCATCTGAGCTACGTATCCTGTTACCGAGTCGTGTTCTATTATTGTTAAACATTTTATTTTATTGCAGACTGCAGCAGTAGTTCGAGAAGCGTTACTATCGTTAGCATTGTCAAGGAGTACAGGTTCGAATGGGGCGATAGTCGGTGGCGAGACGGCGCGAGCGTTACTAGCTGCTTGGACCAGTGCCCTGCCCGTGGCCGGACCAGCGGTAGCGTTGCCCCCTCTCACTGCTTTGTTACATGCCTTTGCTACACAATCTACTCCTGTCAAACGAGTAAGTGGAACTTTATTGGCCTACTACAACTACCTAATCAACAACAATTACGGCTGCTATAGTGTAGTTTGTGCAGGGTGCGGCGCGGGAACTTCCTTATTTAAAAAAATATCATAAAACATAAGGTATTGGCGATATTGTTTTTATTATTTTTTTTACATGGAGATCATCTATAGTTTTGGTTAATTACTTCATAAGGTGGCCTCCATTCTGGTCAATACAATGGGAGAGTCGAAATCGGAGGTTTCGGACCGCTTTGAGATGTCTGGTCCTGGTATCTTTTTCCACACACTACCAGTCTTCATAAACGTGTTCATCCACTGAACAATCGATTTTCGTTCAAGATTTTCATCAGAGATCAGGAATTGTCTCCTGAATGCACGCTGGGTTGCAATACGGCCGTTAGAAAAGAAGCCGCCACAGCGAACGCGCGCTCCTCTGTCTTCCACAGCGCTGCGCCCTTTCGAATGCATACAATTCCCCTGTCCAATGATTAACGGCCGCTGTATGGCTCGAGTTTCAAAAAAGGCAGTTCCCGCGCCGCACCCTATACAACCATTGCATATGTATTTATTGATGTATTAAGAACGAATTTTCGATTGGTTTGGACATTTTTTATCCGTTGCCATGGACCTCACAGGTCAATGTCCGCTGCGTACGTTTTCGTTGGACATGTATCAGGCACAAAGTCCAAATATTTATTAAGTGACAAAATGTCTGTCCTGTCAGGTAGGAATTATTGTATTGTATTGTCCTGGTTCCTTTACACTCAATTTGTACGTCCCTTATACAGATATTAGCTGAAGGCATGGCTGGTGCAGCGGAGACGTCGCTACGCATGCTCTGCGAACCAGCATACGCCATGGCCGAACAGGAGATCACAGACTACTTTCTCGCACTTTTCACTGCAGTGTTACCTCAGCTAGGCAACTTCGCTTACACTGCTATCGACGTATTCCTCGAGGTTGCGCAAAGGTAATACTAATAATTAATTTACAGATGAACGAGGTTAAGTAAGAAATAAATAGTTATTTGTTATGCAAGGCTGCACACTGCAAAGTTGTTGTTTTATGCGAGTGCTTGTTTTTTTTTTTTTTTTTAATATATAATAGACACACGCTTGGCCACAATCTCACCTGATGTTAAGCGACGATGTGACCGACGATGGAACGCGTTTGCCTAAAAAATGCCTATTCACTCTAGCCTTGAATAGCCCCAAATTGTACTTTTCGGGAAATACAGATGCCGGTAGAGCATTCCATTCCTTTGCCGTACGCATCAGAAAGGAGGAGGCAAAGCGCTTAGTGCGAATAGGTGGAATATCAACGACATAAGAATGGAGTGCTCCGGACCTTCTAGTCGACCGAAGGAGGAACGGTGAGGGGGGAACCAAATTGAAAAGTTCCTGCGCACACTCCCCGAAATGTATCCGATAGAAAATTTGTATTGAAACCTGAGCAAGCGAAGGACTCTAAGATTGAGTCACGAGCGAAGCAAGTGGTTCAAAAATAGAACCCTGAGTGTAGCGAGGGTTTCAAATCACGAGATGCAAAAATACTTTGCTGCCGAGCGAAACACACCTTTTCACTTCACTGTAGCGAGGAAAATGGTAGATGAAAGAAAACAGCTGAAATATAACAAATCAGTTTTAATAAACAAGATTAGTTATCGTTGCCAATTTAATGTCAATAATAATAAGATTAAAATATACTAACGGATTTAAATAATGTACGACAAATCGCATAGTTGTACGTGTCATTGTTTTTTTTCCATCGAAAGAAAAAGTTAGGTGCACCACAGTCCATAACCAAATTCGAATTGTAAAAACCTTTTTCACGTTAACGTGGAAAATACGCTTTTACGCGTAGATTTCTAATGAGAAAGAAAGCCTTTCCGAGCTAGTTAGGTGAAAAATAAATTATTTTATGAAATGGCATGATATTATAGCGTTTGTAGTCGCGTAATCGTGCTTGTTCGTAGCACATTACTTCCATTAGACAGACTGTAAATCGTAAGGATCAATTTACATTGCCGCGGAATGGAAAGGAAGCGAAATTTTGCAACGAAATAGTTCCTAGCAAAATGAACTTTATCTCGGAACTCGGGAATTTCCACAGCTACCATCTCGTATCTAGTCTGTACGTTACGTAAAGACATTAATTATCCTATGTACAAAAACATAATAATTTCTAGTGCTATTCTCGGCAATACACGTTGAGACTTCAACATTCGACATCAATTAATTTTTATGTATATTATTATGTCGAATTTTGTACAAATTCACTACAAGAAATAATAAAGAGCTGGGCAAATACATACATACAAATATTACAAATGTGAAAATAAGCGTGTACTATAAGTAATGTACCGATATTCCAACTAAACGTAAACTCAAATATCCGTAATTCCGAAAACCGATTTATAATTAAACCGTTACGCTTTCGAGTAATTTTGATGCTTCTCACAAATCCAAAATTAGCTTTTGTTTTGTAATATTAATATTCCTAAAAAAATACATTTGACATTATGAAAATTCGAGCTAATGTTATTAGTTTCGGGCAAATGTGTTTTCTGTCTTCTGATAGGTAACCCCAAGCTGTACAACGAATATAACAATATTTTGTTAATTATTGTTAACGTTTAATAAAAAGCCATTTTAAAAATAAGATTAAAATCAACTCGACTCTATAGTTTCTTTGTTCCAAATATTTAAATCGCTTATGGTTCGAACAATTGAAAATGACCAACAAGATTATTTAAGCTTCTTGAAATTGACGTTACACGTCAAAAAACGCAGCTCCGCACTCCCTCGCGTTGTGAGAATCGTCTTAGGGTCGTATTCTAGAACTCTACTCAATGCTAAAGCACTTGATATCATACTCAAGTCCCTGCCATTAGGGTCGTATTTCCAGTGCTTGTGTTTCCAGTGCAATCCTGACTTGAGCATTGAATAGAGTTCTAGAATACGACTCTTAGGGTCGTATTCCAGAACTCTACTCAATGCTCAAGTCAGGACTTGAGTATTGCAGTGAGCACTGAAAATCATACTCAAGTCCTTACCATTAGGGTCGTATTTCCAGTGCTTGAAATCATACTCAAGTCTGCTCAAATCCTGACTTGAGCTTTGAGTAGTGTTCTGGAGTACGACCCTTAGAGACATTCTAATTTAGGTTTTTCTAGGAACTAATAATCTTTAATTTAAAATCTTTCTTGAGAATTATACTATTTAACTGCCTCCGTGGTCACGGTTTCCATGCCGGACTGCCATGCAGAGGTTCTGGGTTCGATACCCAGGCCGGGAGAAATATGTGTATGGCCTACATTTATTTTTCTCGTGAGTAGGGTGTAATTTGTGGTAGTCTATGTGTGTGTCCATGGCACCCGCGACACAGGGTTTCCCTAGTGCGTAGAGTGTGTGCGCTATTATTATTATTATATCTGTCAAGTAAACTAATCTATATTACGTTTAAAAACCTAAAAGTTATTTTAAATTTAAAGACACACTTCCCTCGAAACGGGAGCAACGTTATATCGTCGGTGTTTTGTAGAAAGGGCGACAGCGCCATTTCGGAAAATTCACCACTGTTGAAATATTTACGCCGTGTTTTAAATTAAATTTTAAAACTTAATTAAAACCAAAGTTGTTCCCACTGCACTGTAGTCGTAGCCCTACGTGTGTTGCAGCGCGGACCGCTTTCAGTAATGGCTTTGTTTCGCAGAAGCGGCGGGTCGAGCAGCGTGGAGCGCCTAGTGGAGTGCGTGCGTCTGGGCGTGGAGGCGGGTGGCGCCGGCGTGCGCGTCTCCAGCGTGCTGGCGCTGCACCACCACGCGGCCAATGCGCCGCAGCACGACGCCCCCGACCTCGCCCGCGCCGCACATCGCCTGCTCGCCAGGTCAGACGTCTTTTAGTAGCAGTAGCACTCCTTGTGAAAAAGCGATAGGTATTTAGATAGGTTATAGGTAGGGTATATGAGAAATCCTAATTTTGGTATGAAAACGTTATTTTTAATGGAACGTTTTATTAATCACACTCAAGTAACTACTGCTCATTGTATTAGGTAACATTAACTACCCCCGCGTGGCAGTATGAATTGAGCCTAAGAAAAACAGAAAAATTCCATTGTCGATTGCTATTTAACCATATGTCGTGTCCAATACGCCTTTGCAGGTAAGTACTGCACATAAATTTTGATTGCTTTCGTGGTCGAACGGTTACCCTGCTGGACTGCCACCCAGAGGCCCCAGGTTGGATTCCTGGGCCGGGAGAAAGATGTATATGGTCTACATTTATTTCGCTCGTGAGTTTGGGTCTAATTTGTGGTTGTCTATGTGTGTGTCCATGACACAGGTTTTACCTACTGCGGAGCTATGTTGAATGTGTGCGTTGTTATTATAGATACATTTGCTAATTTATTCATTCATTGGGCGCTTACACTATTTGTAAAACGAAATAATGTGTTATATTATTTAATACATTATACTGGTAATACTTATACCATTAGTTCATTATGTTACCGAATTGTTATATCTAATGTTTAGTAGCAATAGAGCTCCTTGTGTAAAAGTTCGTCCAGGGAAGTACTGCCACCTTGCCTATTTCAGCCGCCAAACAGCAGTGTGAGCATTACTGCGTTCGGGTTTGGAAGGGTAAGGGGTGATGGTGAAATTACAGGCACATGGGACTTGACAATTTATGTCTCAGAGTGATGGGCGCAGTGGCAACGCCTCTCAGACCTGTGCGATTTAAAGCTCTGAGTGGCACTGCAACACCTGTGTTAAGACAGGCGTGTCGCTTACCACCAGGCGCACGACATATTCGTCCCGTCACCATCATAAAAAAAAAGAAGGAAGTATGGAGGGTTTCGACCAGAATTAACGCACAGGATAACTTTTATTCCAGATGCGAATGAAGTTGCGGAGAAAATATTATGTGTACATACAAAGTGTTAGATTCTAGAGCAAATAGTTGTTGTGTAGTATAGCTTTGATAATTTATGTTTGGAATGTCCAACATTTGCAGTGTTCTAGTCCATCGATGGAGGTACTTCTTCCCGCACAAGTGCGAAGGCGCGGAGGGCGCGCGGCGGTTAGAAGAATTGCGCGGCGCGTTGGCAGCTCTGGGCCGCGCTTTATTGCAGCCCGATATCGACTTACTGCGGACAACTTTAGCTGCCCTCGATCATTTGCATGCAAAGTGGAAGCTCTACCACAAGGTGATTGTAATATTCTTTGAAGTTACACACTTTACACATTTGCCTCACTTTATTGCTAAATTGTATAATTAATTGGCGACATTTCTGGGCTGAGATATACTGGGTATCCCACGGCTATGCGTTACGGAGGATACTTTAAATATTGTAGCTAGGATATTTTGGTTCATGGAAGCATTATTTTATTTTTAAAACTAAGTAATACTACTTTTAAAAAGTTGCTGACTGTAGTGTAGAGTACAATATAAATATATTTATGTTCTTTGACTTTCAAGAATAAATCATTTGGGAATCGAACTGAACAAATGTGAAAAGAAAAGTGGGTCAAATATAAGGTTTTGTTACTTTTAAGTCACATAGTATCACACCATGAATAAAAATGAAATGTAAAAAGTAGGAGTAGAACTCCTTGTGAGTTCGTCTAGGGAAGTACTGCCACCTTACCTATTTCTGCCACCAAGCAGTAATATGAGCACTACTGCGTCCCTTCCGATTTGGAGGGGTAATGGTGCTGGTGAAATTACAGGCACTTGGGTCATGACAACTTACGTCTCAGGATGACGGGCGCAGTGGTAGTGCCGAGTGGCGTTGCAACTGTTATGGAAAGGCGTGTCGCTTACCACTAGGCGCACGACTTGTTCTTCCCGTCACTTGGTATAGTAATAATAATAAAAAACACGAATAATGTTTTATTGTCGATATTCGTCTTTCAAGATGGGACACCCTGTATACATAAACTGGCTCTTTTTAAATACGACTTGAAATAATAATAATAATAATAATAAATCTTTATTGTTTCTCTCACAAAGTCTTAGTATAAATACAAAAACAGTGCTTAATTATCTAAATAGTACAATATTTAAGTCTGTGTGAGAGACTGGCATCCGTACTAGGAGACCTGTATTACAGATCACCAGCCCCTCCACACTCCGGACCAAAGACAAGTACAGCTTACTTATACTTAGATAGTTACATCAAGAAATGACTTATTAATAGACTTAAGGCGCGAGGGTGTGTGTATGTGTGTGAAGGTGTGTGCGTGCGTGCGTGTGTGTATGTGTATGTGTATTTGCGTGTGCGTG